AAAAGTTCCAAATTAGGGCTTCCAGATGCCCATATTCGATGGAGGATTACGTTATTCAAAATTTGATCTCTCTAGGTTCCGTTGTTTGTTCACAATGCGAGAAAAATACATCATTCGTGTAGATTCTTTATTATTTAGTTTCTTTGAAATATAATGCAGAGCTCTAAGATTTGGTGGCAAAAATTTGAAATGTGAAAAGTCTTTTATAGTGAACCAACGCAAAATACCAAAACAAAATTATCAGCCATTCTGGGCTAACGCCCCTTTGGTCTAAAAATGACGTCTCTATCGAATCGGTGATGTTTCGCAACATTTCATTTTATCGTTGTTCTTCCTATACTCTTATAACATATGTCGTGGTTTGTACGTTAAATTCATCGAATTCAAATTTCTTCCGTAACGGAAATCTTCTTCCATCTTAACAATCTTTTGTTGTCTACCGATTACACACGGAAGTAAAATCCGAGGTTACAGGAGCAAAGTAATTTTTCTAGATCATAACGCCAGTTGTGTTGGTGAGGTTGTCGTCCTCACTTGCAGATCGTGAGTTTTCTGAATTTTAATATTTCACCGGGTATTAATGGTTCCGTATTCATTTGTGGTTTCCCACCGTTAACCGACCAGAAAATACGAGTTAAGAAAAATAGAATTCTTTTTACAAGAACATAACACTTGAATTGTTTTATTTTTTCTTCTCACGTTTTGTTGTGAAGGCATTCGCTGCCATTTCAGAGAGTATCTGCTGCTGTTGAGGAAGTTGTTGCCAATGTTTGTCACTTTGTTGAACAAAATATGTGTGAATGTTACCCATTTTTGTCTATTTTCATTTATAAAGTAAAGGTAGTTTATTTAAAAAAACATAATTAATTTAATTTATTTATGTTATTATTATTATTATTATTCCAAAGGAGCAATTTACTCTTCCCATTGTGAAAAAACAACGGTACCTAGAGACATCAAATTTTGAATAACGTAGTCCTCCACTCGAATGTGGGCATCCGGAAGCCCGAATTTGGAATTTGATTTATTATCCATTTCATATTTTGTAAAGCATTTACTAGTTTTTGATTAAGAAACTCAACGACTTCAAAGCGAGCAATGGTAACACTATAGGGGGGGAATTATCTCCAGTGTGCGAGACTGTGTATCGGAAATTCTAAAGACATGCGCTTTTAAATATTTTGTGAGATTGCTGTTGGATTGAATTTTATGGTTTAAGTGCGAAGAACATTACATTTAATAAATAAAGGTAATACACAAAACGTTGAAAAAAAAAGAAAAAATGTGCGTTTGGGGGGAGGGGCGGATGTATGTTTATGATTTTCGCGAATAAAATGTAAAGCTTTCTTCCTTGAGGAAAGGGTACTGCTATAAAGCTGAATTTAATCCCTTTTTTTAAAGCAGAAAATACGGTTTGAAGTGAGGTCGGTGCCTGTGCCTGTAAGTTATCGCCGGGGTTAAGCTCTCGCCCTAGATAGAATTCAGAGAGTGAACACCCCAGAGTGCTGTCTGAGTGTCTCCCACCCTCTTCCTGTACCACTAACCTCACGAGAGAATTTCGGCACCATTTCTATTTTGAGTGCTTTCTTGCTGCACAGACACTGTACTCATAAAAACATCCATGTCTTCTTCCAGGGATTCGAACCCGGGCCCTTCAGTATGACACTCAGCATCACTAACCACTGTCGCATCTGGGCAGCTTCTAAAGTAGATACTCGATGAACACATTTTTTTTTTTTCATCTTTGCGTATGTGTAACAGCTTTAGTTCCAAGTAAATGGATCATAAACCTCTCGCAGCGTCTATTTCTCTGAGGAGGTCGGCTTAGAGACAGACAGTTATGGCTAATAATTAGCAGTAATCATGATCATCGGAAAATATCTCTGAAGCACTGAGAACACAGTAAAGTAACAGCGTCGTACATTATCGGTAATCATGTTCGCTAAAACGATGAACGAAAAGCCAAAATTATCTGGAGTCGTGAGTGGTCTCCTTACGGAGGTTTCATTGCGGGAAAAGTTAATTGATACTGATAGGTTATTCCGAAAAACACCGAGGGATTTAGATAAGCATATTGACGTTGAGTATAGTCGGGGGAAAAAATCCATGTTTACGTCAAACAACTTTATCTACACCGAAGTCAATTAATTTTATCTCTTAAGTATCAAGAGCTGCTGAGAAAGTATTTTAAGAGTGAAATCATGTTTCTAACAATATGAAAGCCTTTGAAGCCCTATTTCCTTAATTTCTTTTCTTCCTGTTCATTAATATCTCTTGTCAGTTCCGAAAGTTATTTTGCTAAAAGCATCGTATTTTTGTCCCGTTAAAAGGCTTCTATTTCCCTTGTTTTTTTAAAGAAAGTTAGCATTTTTAAAAAGGTGCAGCAAATGTTTCAGCAGTTATCGTATATGAATTTAAAACTTATTTAATATTATGTAATTAAATTACACAAAAATTATTATGGTTCATAAAAATTAAGATTCGCAGAATTAGTCTCGAAATATTTTAATTCAGTGTCGTAACGTAGAGTAGATTTTTAGTTTTCGTTCGAAAGAATTTAATAGATGGCAGCAGATTATTTTGGGCAAACTCCATTTTATGTCACGTATTATTGAAACAGATATTTTTTATTTCCCGTTTTTTCTTTCGTTTTCTCCTCGTTCTTTATCTTATCAATGTACAAACTGACTTAAAAGTCTTAACATTTGAAAATTCAATTATTCATTGAATAATGTAGGTATAGATGTAAAAACTGACACATATTATCCTTGAAATGTCATGGGGTTTTATTTAAAGTAAAAAAAGTGCTAAAACGTCCAACAGATGACGCTTCATGTGATAACAAAAGCAATAATTACCTTAATAATTGATTTTTTCATCAACAGTACCTGTAGTCGAGGGACAATGTTGTGACGAGCACTCTATAACGTATATGTAGGAATGCAGAAAAATTGCCGTCGGTGTTGTCTTTCAGCATCCCTATGAAGTCGGATGATCGTGGTAGACGTGCGATTTCAGGTAACTCCACAACCAATAATCTCACGGATTGAGATCTGGGGACCTTGAGAGGCCAAGCATAACGAAAGTGTCGGCTGAGCACGCGTTCCTCACCAAAGATGTGTGCAAGAGATATTTCACCTGTGTAGCTATATGGGATGGAGCGCCATCCTTCACAAGTCGTACCTACCAACAGATGTTTATCATCCAGACTACTGATGATGCAATTCTGTAAGGCCTACCTCGGCCTGCTTTGCACCATCAACCTACCTCGGTCCATCGTCCCGTCGACCTACCTCACACCCGTCACGCTGACAGTCTGAATAGTAGAATCACATGGATACAAGCCAATCTCCCGTGAAAAGTCCTCTTCGGGGCATTCCTTTCTTTCCCTATAGTGCGGCTAATGCCGGTGCTTGTATTAAAATGTATTTTAAGAGAAGAATAATTCACTTTAGAATGAAAATTTCTTTTTTTAATTCTTAGACGTATTAGCGAACACGTTAGTCGCATTAACACGTTGAGCCCTGCGCCGGGCCTCCTCACGGACTTTCCGTTAGGCCGGCGTCAGTCCCTGGGGACCGGCACTGAAATTTTTGTTTGGCCGGCGTCGGTCCTGGACAGGCGTTTGGATGGCGTCGATCCGCGGAACCGGCAGTATTAACATTCGCGGCCACGAGCTTTGTCACGCACAGGCAGGGCTTGTATGTCGGTAGCCGACAAAGTCGACAAGCGGATAAGCTCTACTCAGTGCATGAAGTCGCAGATCACCGTGCAACATTGCACCACTTGATCGCTCGTGCTGGCTAAACGGAAAGGACAGCAAATTCGGCGCCGGGCTCAACGTGTTAAAATTAATTTTATGAAGGTAAGAATTGGTGTTTATTAGCTTCTTGAATATGCAATATATTTCAACAGAATGTACTTACTGTTTGCTTTTATTTCCCTTTTGCCATTTATCTTTTCCTACATTAGTAAACTCTTATACTTTTATCGCGTATGCTTTTTTAGCGAAAGTGCGTTTTCGATAAATTTTCAACATATCCTTGGTGCCATATCAAAGTAACGATCTCTTAAACCATTGCTTGGAGAGACAGGCGTTAAATGGTTTAGCATTATTTGGTGTTTCGGGAAAATTGAATTATGATTTCTGAGGATTAAATCTCAAATATTTATTTCATAAAATGTACATTTTTCACTTTTGACATGTCTGAAAATATTGAAGTGTAATGCAAAAGCGTCGAAGTCTAAGGCAAAAAAGGACAGTTCTTTGTTTTGGCGTGATGCTGAGGATATCTTATATCTTAAACCATCTGTTTTCCTTTCTACTTGCAACAGGCAGTCTCCTTCCCCAAAGTAAAAACCGTATGGTTGGTTCGTAATCGAAATTTTCCATACTTTTAAGTAGGAAACGGTAGTTATCCTTTAAAGGTGTCTGAATTGCAACCCCACGAAATCTCTAATTCAGATCTGTAAAACCTGTGCATAAAATCCGCAGTGTCGTTCAGGAATGGTTGCATGTATGTTTTTGGTTATAGAACCTGGGTAGCTGTGATGACAGTTTAAATGTCACAAAATGGTGCTCAAATGCCATGGTCTGTCGGGTATTTGCCTGTATTAAATATTTAGAGTTATTTCAAGCGTGCAAACGCTAATGGTTTTCCAATTCTATTGTGTATGTTGAGGTGTTTTACCATTTCCTCTGTCTCATAAATATCAATCATTCAGCGTTAATAATCCTTGAAGACAGAACCTTAACGTCTGAGATTTATATCATAAACAGGTGTATTAAATTATTGTCTTGTAAGCCTGTTCCAGAAGATAAGGAGGTATTTTCTTTTATAAGCAACGGGCGTTTGGGAAATTGGCCTTCGTATGAAGTCCCCTCGCAGATCTGTGCGTGGCTTTGGGAAAACAAATTCTTATAGAAACGTCTATTATCCATAGTGACTGTAATGTGCCTGACATTCTCAGTTTTCTAATTATTTTCTTTTTATTTCTAGGTATTTCAAAGAACCGCTACACTAACCTGTTTTAATCGACTTGAATTCAACACGTGCGGCGTCAAGTTTTAACAGAAAGACGTACTTTTCCACAAACCATATCTTCTGTGATTCGTCTTGTGAGTCCTTGTTTTTGAAAACGAAATGGGTCCGTTTCATCGGAAAGCTTTCACTCCAGGGGAGAGCCCGCCCTAGAATGGTTGGTCCGTAGTTTCAAGTTCTTTCCACTCTCCGCACTGGCCCTTGTTTATTGTTAAACTGTTCGTCTGTTAACTATTATAACTGATTAACCTTCGACGGTGGACAATGGACGGGAGGCATGACCTGACGGTAGACCACACTAGATTGTTAGCCAATGGTGGCGGTTACACGGCTATGGACAATTCGGCTACTGGTCACCCAAACTCTCAACAGTTAAGGCCTCCGTACGGGGACTTGTGCAGACCTCCAGGAACGGATACTTCGACCTTGTCAGCTGCATATCATAGTCGATACCTGGCATCGATGCCGCTGTCCACAGGTAAGTGTCTGTAAACATATCAGCAGATGGAAAATGCTATGCTTTATTTTTTGCTTACAGAGGTTAAGGCTTGTACGAGGGCCATTTCAAATGTATTGCACAATGTGGCACGTGCCGCCAAGTATATTATGGCATAATCATTTGGGTTCCCCTTCCCCTCTTGCTTGGTCTATGAGACTAGAGGAAATACTAGTTGTTTTAGTGTTTCTGTAGGAGATGTTGTGTGGTTTTGAAAAGTGTGACTAGTTTAGAAAGCTGGTATTGTAAGAGATTATCAGCGGTGGTGAATCAAAAACAAAACTTTCCGAGAGGAAAATATAGCAGAAATTCGTAGAGTAGTGTGTGTGTGTGTGGAGGGGAATTCTTCATTAGATTAGTTTTCCGTGAAGAAAGAGACAGTTTCCTACTTGAAGGGCAAGTCTAATTTCAACTGGAATTCAGCGCTTGAGACAATTTAAGAAAAGCGATATTTTAATTGCAGTTGTTGACTTTTTAAACCTCTGGTACGCTGTTTGTCAGAGAAAGGAAGATTAGATGGCAAAATATTGCGTAAATGTATTCATAAGAATATTTTGTAAAAATTAATGTGCATTACTTTTGAAATGACCGCCGTGTATTTTTATTTTTGGCTCACTGTAAAGGGAAATGCATTTGTTTTGCATAAAACCATCATTTTATGCGTTTAGAACTGGTTTTATTTTCGTTTAGGCAAACGCGATTTTATTCAGCAAAGCGTGTAAATTATTATTTGTTTTCAATTTTTAGTCAGTGCGTTAATTTAAGATTTTATTGTTGCTTTGTATATTTTTTCACGTCCGCTTAACTATATTATTACTCTTTTTTTTTTTTTTTTTTAATTTCTGTTAATATTCGAGGTATTTTTGGAACGATTTGTCGCGTTTTTTAATATGAAAACTCCCAATTCCTTTATTTTTGGGGAGGAGGGGGAATCATCCAGCATACATGTTGGTAAGAAGTAGGTATAGCAGATCCGCAGTAACATTAATGAGATAACAACAGCATAGCTACTGAAGGCATTCGCCAGTACCTTCTTGCTGTAGTAACATATACCAGAACGCTATAAAACTTTATTTCTATGTAAATATCATTCATATGTACTCTTGTTTTGCAGTTTTGATTGCATTATACTTTTTTGCCTTCTTTTTCAGCTTATTCGGTGTCTGAAATCAATTGGACCCGATTACGTGCAGTGTGATCTATAGAGAGAAGTTATCCATACCATTTCCAACATACTTGAAAATATAAAAAAGATGAAAAAGTGTTATTATAGGCTAATTAATGGGATTTTTACCTAAAAAGCACACTTTTACCCTGTAAAAGAACTTTGAGTAGTGGGCATTTAAAAAATAATTTAATAAATAAAAATAAGTACACTCTATGGCTTTATTGTTAATAAACACTTTTAAAGGTTCAGTTAGTTAGTTATGTATGAAATAAAAATGAATAATTTGAATTCTAAATAACTATTAAACGGTCAGAACTTAATTAATGTGGTTTTTGAATATTCTTTTTGGGCTAAGTCATCTCTATTAGGATTAATTCTTGAAGATGCTAACAAAATTTGGTGTTTTAGGTGCATATCGGTTAATCTCGAACGATATTTTGATTTTATTATGTTCATAATAGAAAACATTTGTTCACAAACATATGTGATCCAAACCCTCAACAATATCTGACAGCCAAATCGTGAAAATGTGGAAAATTGCTTGTTGGTACAAATATCGAAAATTCAATATAATTTGGATCTTCCGCAGTTGAAATATGTTCCTTATACTTGCTTTTCGGTGTATCATGCTGCTGTGGGTCAATAATTTCGATTTGGATTTCAGTTGGGTAATAATTAACGTCTTGCAGAGAAACCGAATTATTATATTTATTGTAATGTGTTTATGTGTGTATCTATCGACGGAGTTAATAGAGACGATATTATTATTTTTCGAATCGTTTAATTCAATAAGTCTCCGTGTGCCACTGTTAAAACTCCGTCGTGCCACGAGTTGGCCATGCCAGGTCTAGTACCATCTTTTCCAAAATTTTTAATCTAGGGATGGCACGCAGATATCCTGACACTTGCATGTAATTGCTTTGGGCAGGATGGAGAGGGAAAAAAGAGAGTTTTGTTTAGAAAAAATAATGTAATAGTGAAGTAATAACAAATAAAAATTTATAACTATTAATAATTAATTTGCTAATTATAAATCAGTTCGTACTTCAGATTATGATATTTGTAAACCAAGTAGATTTGTGCTGAACTTAAATGTTTGAGGCGATGTGATTAATATAAAGAAATTACTTAATAATAATCTAGTTTGTAATTATAAGTACGCCATTTTTAAACGATCCTGGATATACTGTTGATATTTATAGTATTACTAAGGTATTTTTAAACATTAAACCATGCGTAAGGAACTGTATTCGAAAAAGTGCGCCTGGCAACGCACAAGTAATTATTTCAACTGTGGGTAACATTAGGTTAAGTTGACTGTTTGTGTGGAAGCAATCGACGAAGGATTTTTCTGGTGGAAAATGGCTCATATTTACGTTACACATGGGGAAAGCTTTGGAAACGTCCATGCAAGAGCCCTCTTCGCCGGGATTTTAATCTTGGTTTGGTTTATTTGGTTATGGCAAAGCACTCAAGAGGTATCTGCGTATGGGAATGGATGCCTTTGTGGAGGACTTTCTAAGGGAAACTGGCCTGTATACACGTTACACACGGGGAAAACCACGAAAATGCCCATAAATCTTGGTCGAACTACTAGTGTTTGGTGATCTTATCCACTCGCTCACTGTTGAGCATTATTCGAATTCCAAATTCTCTTCTAATGCAGAACGCACTTTCATTCGCTTTCAGTTAACAGCTTAAAATGAACCTTGGTTTGCGCGAATTTAAAAATCAACTGCAATCAAAAGCTTAAATTTGCAATCGAACTACCTATGTTTAACGATTGTATCGCTTGGCCGTTTGTTTTGTTTTATGTGATTATAGCTGTTGGGAATGACATCATCATGCCAAGGAATCAAAGGCCAGATAGAGACTGACGTCAGGGGACGCTAGAGAAAAACGAATAGTTGCGGTTTAGATAGCTAAGGACGATGTTTGCGTGAAATAGATAGATATTTCTTGTTCATTTAACTTGTACAGATGTATAAATAAACCTTTTTCCTTAAGTTTAAGAGATTTGAAGTGCTCCGTTTATGATAAGATAGCTGTTAATTCATCCGTTAGATGACTTATGAATCCCTTCTGAGCTGGCCATTGTTTGAAACGTAACGCCTAACGTAACATAACATAGCAAAGCACTTAAGAACTATCTGCATAAGCGGAAAAAGTACCTTCGTGGGAGGACTTCCTAAAGGAAACTGACTGATATACATGGGGAAAAACACAAAAACGCCCATAGTGTAGATAAAAAGGCTTTTTTTTTTCCGTACAATGTTGCCATTGCTCGCTTTGAAGTCGTCGAGTTTGTTGATAAAAAATTCGTTAACATTTTACAAAATATGTAATAAAACAAATTCCAAATTTGGGCTTCCGCATGCCCATATTCGGGTGGAGACGTACGTTATTAAAAATTTGATGTGTCTAGGTACCGTTGTTTTTTCACAAAGCGAGAAACATACATACATTCATGCAGATTCTTTATTATTTAATTTCTTTAAATATAATACAGGGCTCTAAGAATTGGTCGCAACAATTTGAAAAGTGAAACGTCGTTTTATAGTTGAGACGCAAAATGCCAAAACGAAATTTAATAGCCCTTCTGGGCAAATTGCCCCTTTGGACTAAAATTGTAGGGGGGGATAAGGGAACAGTTAATTTTGTGTGGCATCTCACAAAATTGGCAAAAATAATTCACTCTATGATAAAATCACCACCTAATTGATTACTAATAATATTGTATATTGTTACCAACTACTTACGCTATGTGGTTCGTGGATAGAATTGAAAGGATATTTTTATAGTCGTTTTTTCTTTTATGTCCGCACTTAATATATTAGTATGTGCCATTTCCTGTGGCTTATAGTTTTCTCTGGATTGTGCTCTTGATCGAAATGAAGTCGAAATTGAAGTACGTGTGCAGTGCTTTCAACGATCGAGTAAATCAGCAGAGATACCCCTTCGTTCGAAACCAAACGATTTGCGGAGTCGTAAAAACCCTGAAATGTGTTATAAATGCTGCCTTTCCGACGGCAGTGTTCTTTTTTTAGCGTATACTCATTTTTATTTCCTCGTACACCGCCTTTTACTTATTACTTCCTTTCTGTGGCATCAACTCATCCCTCCCTGAATCGTTTTTCCAATTTCGTTTTCCTCTCGCTCTTATTATTTCTGCTTTAAAAAAATAATAACAAAAACAATAATAATACTAAAAGGAAAGCTGTATTTTTTTTATTATTATTGTTATTCGTTGCATGGATTTCTCCTACTCAGCAGGCATCACTTAATTGCAAAAGCACCTCACCACCTCCGCAGTCCCTTCAGCTCGAAACTGTGGGGGGGAAAGTAAGAAAAGGGGAAAGGATGAAGACTGAAGAGCTTGGATATTTATGCCTGCGGAGACTGAGGTTTAGGAAATGCGGAAAACAAACACAAAGGGGAAATTAAAACAACAAGCAAACAATAAATAAATGAGGTCAGTAGAAAACGGTTGAAAACCATGGGAAAGAGAAATTGCCTGCGGGGGCTTTGGGCTCGTGTGTGTGGTTTTACTGCTAAAAGATAACTTCCTTCGGTAACTGCAGTTTGACGTAGCGATGCAACGGGGTCGGAGGGAAATATATGATTGCTGTTTTACATCCTTGTTAGACAGATGGTTTCTGAACTATGCTGTTTACTTTTCCTGACAATTATCCGTTTCAGGAGCTGTATTTGGCAGCATGCAGTCGCTTTAAAAAGCAGAGTATTTTGTATAAAAAATCGGAGCTTAATTAATTACTCTATTCCTGCACGTACTTCTCGCTGGGGAAAGGCGGAT